AATTCACCCCTCCCCATTTCTCAACTTACACAGGCTTTCATGTGTCAAATAATTGGCACACTCAAATGATAAAAGTATTATTAAATTCCTTAAAAACCTGGAGATTATCTCCAGCAGTCATTTTCTTCAAGGAAACAGAAAAAGGGGAAATGCAAATACTCAGCAGAGAAAACATAGTCACACAGAAACTTTGAGTTCCCATGTCACCTGGCTATGTACCATATTCCAAGAGACAGCAGTTTCCTGCTAGTGAGAAAAGGCAACCTTCCCAGGGGAAGGGGATTGGGAATTGGAGCATTTCCACCCCACTCCTAGTCTTGCAGTTTGGGGAACTCTCTGGGTTCCACTGCTCTCGAAAAAGGAAAACTCACTTGCCCGAATCAGGTAAAATTCTAACCTGACCAACTCTCAAATGTAAAAATTCTCTTTTCAGAAAGACAGAACTATCATAGTGCTTCCCTCAGTCCAACTGCCAGCAGACTCATAGATACCTATGCCTGGATCTATGCTTGGTGATTTAGCAAAAATCTCAAGAAAAGAACCAGAAAACAAAAATATAATGATTTTCCGATTTTCCAATGGCTTTTTATGTTTCAGCAGGAAATAAAAATCTTGGTAACATGATCCACACTGACTCAAGTCTCATTATTTCCTATCAAGACCCATATGAAGATGACACTTTCTACCTTTTTGCCAGCTCATATCTGAATTCAGCATGGAGTCATCATCTTGAGACAGACTGCTGATGGTCCTGCAATATTCGTCATCACCTCCACCATTATTGTAACAGAGTATGAGAGTTTCAGCTAGGTACACGGCCACCCAGAATAAGCACTACAATTCCCTGCTGGTCATATGACTAATTGCTAACCAATAAAATGGAAACAAAGTGACATGTATCTGCAGCTTCATCCAGAATCTCATGTGACTGTGTCACTGTTCCCAACTCTGACATCTTAAATTCAGCAATATCAGTAGTGATGTTTCACACTATGATAATTGGCATATTATCCTGACTACAGAGCATGAAGCCTGGCCCTTCATCCCTCCCAGAATTCTTTGATGCCCTTTTGTAAGCCCCTTTCTTCCTTAAATTAGCTAGAGTTGGGTTATGTTGCTTGCAACTGAGAACATTGACTGAGAGATACTATTCTAGGCTCTATGTATGAATATACATGTGTAGTCCCTTCCCTGTAATCATCAAGATCCAAGTATTAGTTGTTGCTTTTTTTCTTTAGCCCTTCCTCCCAATGTACAACCTGCCTATGAGATTAAAGTACTGAGTCAGTTCTTAAACAATTATACATCTAAGCAACTTATACATCTTAGGACCCCTCCAAGTAGCAAATCTTGGCTCATAACACACTTATTACACTGGTTCTGCCACTGTTTAAAACTTTTTAAAATTGTTTGAGAATTACCTTGTGCCTGGCACATAATCTTTTGTTTTAGGAAAGTATGTGTTTAAAATCTAAATATTACAAGATGAAAAATCTCCTTCTCAATCTTTTTCCTTGGTTTCCTAGTTTCCGTCCCTAGAATTAATGTGCTTCTTATTCCTTTAAATCCTTCTAGATATACTATAGGGGTATGTGTGTGTGTGTGTGTGTGTGTGTGTGTGTGTGTGTGTATGTGTGTGTGTGTGTGTGTAAATTATGTATTTATATCCTTTTTTAGCAAAAGTAGCAATACATTCTTATATACCTAGTTATTTTCCTTAATATATACCTCAGACTCATTCTTACTAATGACAGAATAGTGTTCTAATTTATTGATGCTCCATAATTACCTAACCTGTCTCCTATTGTTGGATATTTATGTTTTCTCTAATCATTTCCTGTTGTAGTAAATATTCTGCTCAAGATTTCTTCCATACTGTTATGAATGTAGCTGTGGGATAAATTCCAAGAAGTATATCCACTTGGTAAAAGGGTAAATTCATTTATTATTAATAAATCTCTTTTCTTTTTCCTTTTTTTTTTTTTTTAATTGAGACAGGGTCTTGCTGTCTTGCCCAGGCTGTGATGCAGTGGTACTGCCACAGCTCACTGCAACCTCGACCTCCCCAATTCAATGGATCCACCTGCCTCAGACTCCCAAGTAGCTGAGACTATAGACATGTGCCACCACACTCAGCTAATTTTTGTACCTTTTTGTAGAGACGGGGTTTTGCCGTGTTGCCCAGGCTGGTCTCAAACTCCTGGGCTCAAGCAATCCACCAGTCTCTGCCTCCCAAAGTGCTGAGACTACAGGCATGAGTTATTGTGCCTGGCAAAATTACACTCTTACGCAATGCATGAGAGTGTCTGGGCCCTCCCTCTTCCTCCATCCCTTTTCTAAAACTATCTTTTGTGATAGTACATTACTGCACAACAACCATAGTGCCTTCTGAAGATGTTATGGCAGGAAGTTTTTACCTGAAGGAAAAAACTCAAACTCTTCTGGGCTTCAATATACTACACCTCTGACTTTCATACTACTGTGGATTATTGTGTTCTTATTTCATATATTTCTGAACTCAAACTTTGCTTTAAGCTTCATTATCTTCAATGTACTGTGCATCAAAGCATGTAATTTCAATTTTCATAAAAATATATTTTTTACCTTGGTTGATATGTGAGTCCATTAATGTTCACTCATTCAACACTTCCTTTCTAACTTTTTGTCTATCTCATAAATATTAAATGGAAAGAGATCAGGAAGCATGTATCAGATCATTTTTCTATATTTACATAATGAAAAAGTTATAAGTAATGTGAACAAAGGAGTCAAAAGGGAATTCAATACGTAGCAATTCAGGACATCTTGATAGATAGGACATTTTGCAGAGAATCTGCATAAATTGCTGTTGAAAAAACATAATGCTCTTAAAAGATGATTTTTAAACCATAAAAATGTTTAAAGATGATTTAACATGCTCATCAACTCAGTCTGTACATGTATAAATGTGTATATGCGAGGTGTGAGTATCAAGAAATAAGACTCTATGTGGACTTTCTGATAATAGCCTTCAAAGTACTCAAATCAAAAGGATGCACATGTTCAGCCATGCTTCCATTGCCTGAAATATTTCTGGGACTGCCTTCACAGCACTGTATAAACCACACAGGAAAATTTAATTCATGCATTCCTTTATAATCACACCTTATTTCAATGGAAAATTAGAACTGTTTAACATGATAATCTCCTTTATTCATCAGGCTTAACTCCAAGCTTTTAGGTATTTCCAAAGATCAAATCTGCCCTCAAAGGTTAAAGATTTATCAACATTCAAACAGATTCCCAAAAATAAGTGTCAAAAATGTTTTGAAAAAATAAATAAATAAAAAATATAAATACAAATAAACTAAACTTTTAAAATGTTTTGAGCAATAGCTGCTTCACTAAAGTAAATGTGGGGCCTTCCAAGATGATGATTTAGAAGGACACAACCACTATTTGGATGTATATACTCTGGTACATTTGTTTTGAAATCTCATTACCTTACAGGAAGCCATGTCACATAGTGGTCAAAAGCACATATTTGGGAGTCGCTAGTAGGTTCAAATTCTGTTTCCAGCCAGGCATGGTGGCTCATGCCTGTAATCGCAGCACTTTGGAAGGCCAAGACAGGCGGATCACCTGAGGTCAGGAGGAGTTTGAGAACAGCCTAGCCAACATGGTGAAACCCCATCTCTACTAAAAATACAAAAATTAGCCGAGCTTGGTGGCACACACCTGTAATCCCAGCTACTTGGGAGGCTGAGGCAAGAGAATCACTGGAACCCAGGAGGAAAAGGTTGCAGTGAGCTGAGATTGTGCCACTGCACTTCAGCCTGGGCAACAGAGCAAGACACCATCTCAAAAAAATAAATAAATAAAAATAAATAAATAAACAAATTTTGTTTCTAACATTTCCCAGCCATGTGACCTTGAGTAAGTTATTTATTCTCTCCATGCCCCAGTTTCTTCATCATAATCTGCAAAATAAAAATAGTAATACTCTTCCCATGGTGTTTTTTTTGAGGTTGAAACATGGAAAATATACTTAAAATATGTAGCTGCATGCCTACAATGTAATAACTATTTGGTAAATGGTAACTATGGTATTTTTTTCTCTTTATTATCAGTCACATCTCACACAGCTCTGCATGTCCTTTTTTTATATGACATTCTTTCTTCTTCCATCTCACCTATTAGAAATCTAGAGGTGCTACTATACTTTTACTTAGTTGAGACGGTGAAACTGGGCATGCCTGAGTTTCCACCTCAGGCTGGAAAGTAGAGATACTACAGTAATAATAATTACTCACATATAATACAGAAGTGGAGAAAAGTAACACCTAGACAGCAAAACCATATTCCATAACTCGGAGGAATAATGAAATGTAGTCAACTCTCCTTTTAGTTGAAGATATAGTAGTGGCATTCATTGAACAGAAGTTTCACATAGAAAAAATAAGCAGTCTCCATATTCTTAACCTCTGCATGTTTACAGAGTACCATGAATGCCAATCTCTTGTCCCTGTTGATGTAACATTATGAGCCCTGTTGGCCACTCCATGGCCCCATACCTTGTCTCAAACAATGAAGAAAACCCTACGAGAGTCAACACATAGGGAAGAGGAGGAATATATCCTAGCCAGGAACACCCCAGGAACAAGCTCTTGGTCTGGTGCAGCAAGAGGAAGGGTTGCATCTGCAGGGAACTGTGTTACTCTCCAGGACACCCCCAGAGAGAGGGCTGTAGAAAAACAACTCAAAGAAGCAAGAATAGACTGTCAGCTTTCCTCACCTTACTTTAAAGCTGGATTTGCCCTCCTTCTTTAATACAGCCTCATTAAGGGTTCCTTAATATTTGCCCAAAGTGCAAGGCACAGCCAAGACATATTAGGAACATTCCTTTCCCACTAGGAAATATTTCTTGACATTAACTTCTGGGAAATGATAAAGCACATACATTGCAAATATAAAGGGTTATATAAATACTTAACAATCAAAGCATTTCTAGTACTCTGCCCACAAAAAGCCATTACCTCTGTCTTTATGACAGAAGGTTTAATGTCGCTGAATCTTGCTCAAGTGTAATATTCACTTGAACACTGAGGTCCAATTTTATAGTGGTAATTTTTTATTCCAAATCACAGTCACAACCCAATCCAATTCAAGTATTCAGATACCACATCTTCCATGAAATAGCTCTTCTTCAGCCTTACCTACTTTGCAGCTCACTGCCTCCCTACATCCCCAGAGCTTGGCCTGGTGCTCAATTCATAGAACATACTTAATAAATTATGAGTGGATGGATGAACACTTCAAAGTGACAATTTGTGTCTCTTTATGAGAGGTGCACTAAACAAGAGAAATCATAGTGATAACTACCATATGTGGCAGGTGTTGTAAGTATATTATCTCTAATCCTCATTACCACCTCACAAGGCATGTAAAATTGCTATCCACTTTACATACAAGAAACTGAGACTTACAGCCAGTGAGTAACTATCTTGCCCAAGAACTCAAAATTATTATATGGCAGAGTTTGAATGTAAACCCAGTCTGTTGGCCTCTGTAATCAGAACTCTTAACCTCTTTGGTAAATTGCCTCTAATCAGAGCTCTTAACCACTTTAGTAAATTGCCGCTAAAGCCCTGCCGTAACTTAGGAAGTCCTCTCAAAGAGATCCCTCACATACCATGTAACAGCCACGAATATCCTCATGTCCTGCCATGGGTCCCAACCATGCTGTGTTTACTTGTTGCCAAGAATACTGCCGCAGCTTCCAACACTACCCAATCATCACATCCTCATCTTCTTCCTCTTCATTTTCAGAGGTAAGTAGGTGCAGCCCCATGATTGGCCTTCTGGCTTCCCTGAAACTCGAAAAGGAAAACTAAGTGAGAAACCCTTCATTTCCCCTCATACCGTTCCCTTAAGTGCTGTAGGATAGCACCCAAAACAGTAAGCTGTAAGGTGAAAACCTTGCTGTACTCAAAATTGCTCCCCTTCCTTTCTTACGCCAAACTCTCTCTCCCCAGACACTTCCGCATCTCCTGGACAATCTGAGAATTTACCATGGAGTCATGTTTTCTAGGGACATAGGTTCTAAAATCAGTGAGAAAAATAAAATAAACACAATTATCTTTTAAAATCTAATATATGTAAATAAATCACGTATACACTAAATGATATATGTAAATAAAATTTTCCCTAAGACCGCCCACAATATACAGTGTTTATGATCTTGTATGTTCAAGTTTACAGTCAGAATTCTTGCCCAGATTTAATTTTGAGAACTGTTCAGCTAGAAGGAGAGTTAGATGCAGATGCCTATACATTCCAATCATTCCGCTTATCAGGATGGAAAAAATGTTTTGGTAGCTTGCAGGATTTAAGGCATTCTTTTTTAATACATAATGTCTTTATGGCCTGTTAAAAGATGAGTTTGCTGTTGCGACATTTTTTCTCTAGGGTAGGTTCTGAAGTCAGAGAGTAGGTTGAGTCCTTGAATAGTGGCAATGGCACCCAATTACCTGCCCAGACAGAACAAATAAATTCAGGGATAAACACAGCTCGAATTCTCAAACTGAGATCTCTGTTCTATTAGGAAGGAAAGATGAGAAAACAACTCATCGAGAAAAGTGACCTCCAACTACTTGCATCTATCTCTCATGGCCATGTCTCTTTTCTCCTTTTATTATCTTCATTTCTTTCTACATATATCTTTTTTTATATGATCATTTCTTAGACACCTTTACAAAGTGCTTAGTACTGGGCTCGGTTATTACTCAAATCTTCAAATTTCCCTAGACATGTTCTTTTCCTTGGAGGTTTCTTGTATGTTCCCTTCTCCATTTACTCATGACGAGTCAGAACTTTAAAGGAGAAACATTACACCCTAATCCTTTGATGATTTGCTCCATGTTTCAGATGTACTTCTCCTAGCTCTTCTTATTGACCAAAGTTGTAAATGTTGCAGAGGCGCTGTCTGGTTGAGCCCTGAATTGTGTATTCTAAATAGAAAAGAAGATGGCCCAGCACAGCCAACGAAGCTGGGAAGAACATCTTCAGCATGCACCTCTCAGCTCCCAGATGCCCCAACAGCATCACATGGGCCTATCATGTGATGATATCATGTGTGGTGAATACTGCACATCTACCCATAAGTAAGACAATTTTCAATATATTGCTTTCATTTTGAGTGGTTTTCAAACATCTTAACAAATGTTCACAATAGGCATTTTGTAAGAAATATCATGTTTAGAGGTATACAAAAGACCAACTTAAACCAGCAAACAGCCAACACAACAACAGAGCAAGGGTCTTCTAAAGATGAAGAGGGGAGCCAGAAACTCCCTCAGCCTGGAAGTTAACTTAGGAAGTCAAAGTCTTGAAAAAGAAAAAGCTGTAAAGCTTTGATTAAAATTCCCATTGCTAGTTATATTTATATGCCCATTCAGGTGCCCATAAAGGAAGGGCATTTTATTAAGAACACTGTAGATCACTCTGAATACATTTCCCTGTACTTTTCTTTGCTCCTTCCTCCATCTTTCTATAATGATATAAATTAAAGGGCAGAGGCATCAGGTGATCATGATGGATTTTCTCAGCTATTTGGCTTGTGCCACAACAAACCTTAATATTATTTTAGTGATGTGAGTTATTTGACCTAGAAGGATCAGCCTGTTCAATACATGCAGTAGTACCGCTGAGGAATTAGCTTGCTTAGCCTGGGGCAATCAATAGATTGACAAACTAGCCTTTTTTAAGTCCAAGGCCTATTTTATAGGAATATTAAGCTTGTGGTGTTCCTACAACAAAGGAAACTGAAGCCTGCACAAAAGGTTTCACAGTTGAAAGCATTCACAGGGTACATTTATATCTTTAAAGAGGTTCTCATATACACAGAACCAGCCAAAGGTGCAGGGTTTAGGGGGCTAATAGACACAGCCATTCATCTGAAATAACTCTGGATAATTGTAAAATATACAAACAAAGCCTTGAACATCTAAGGGAAAAATAGGTATTTTGTGTGAATAATCCTGTGGCTGTTGAAACTTCAAACAATGCTCCTATAGCTATTTTGAAAACATTATGTGAGAAGCAAAATAAGCAGTGAGTAAAAGATGAAAAGCTGTGATAATGGGAAGAAGTGATATTCATGTCACTTCTCCAGATCTCACAGGGAGTTCTCATGACGCAACCATATCCCCCTGTGTCCAAAGGTGAAAAAGTATTTTAAAGTTCATAGGAAGCTTGCCCTGAGACAGCACAGAAACTCCTGACAAGTCACGCTATTATGCTAGTCTGTCTGGCAGCAGATGTATTGGAAGGGAAGTGTCAGAGGAAGAAACACCTGGGATGCAGATTTTCAGGGGCTTCCACCTTCTCAGAGAGATGCTGCCATTAGCCTCATGGTCACCACGAACTGTTTACATGCATTTCCCCCACAGAAATCTAATAGACAACGGTTTTTCAGACATTAGAGGCTATAGGGGGCTTTGCTTTGGGAAAAAAAATAGACTGCTTTCCCCAAGAAAAAAATATTCCTCCAATGCTCTCCTTCACCATTATATGGACTTGCCCATTATGGAGATGTTTATTGCTTTTCCCCTCTCCTAGGTTTTTTAAATATACCCTGTTGAAAAGACAAAACCCCATGCAGTGAATTTTGATTAGAAGCTCATATCATCACTCTCCTAATACCAAGCTGGTGTTCAAAGGGTACTGTTATAGAGGTCTGTAATTCCTAGCCAGAGATCTATAATATTTCAAACAAAGGATATGATAAATTACAAAATAGGCAAGAAATTTATTTGATTAAAAAAGACAGTGTGACCTATTTCCCTCTAGCACATATTAATAGCCCCCTGACTGATCCCTCTGGTATCCACACAGGGTGAAATCGAGCTTTTCCCAGAAATCCACTGCAATGCCAATGCCAGAGAAGGGCACCGGAGGAGGAAAATCAGCACCAGGGAGGAGCACACCCAGTGGTAACGAGGAACATTGATTACACTCCAAATCAATGCACGATGCTGACAGGGCTCTGCGGTAGGAAAAGCTGGCAACCAAATTGCGTCTCCTGAGCCCTGCCCATCAGTAGGTGTTACTATTCATACATGCAAATCAACAAGCACTGAGCAGAGATTAAAAGTGAGAGGGAGGCAGAAGACGGCAGAAAGAAAAAGACTTCAGCTCAGGCTTCAGATCAGAGTGGCAGGCATTATCATAAACATAAAAACTCTAAAATTCTCTCTCCATTCCAGTTCACAGGTGCTTTGCCTTTTAAAAAAAAAAAAAGAAAGAAAAAAGTAAATCACATATTTATTTTCTCAAAAAACCTCCTAAATTTTGTTTTATCATTGAACAGCTGTTCTTTCAAGTTCTGGTTAAGCACCCACTAAATCTTTCTTGATTAGTCTAACTATGCAGTGGAGGCATCTATTTAAAATCTAACGCCAAATTTGAATTTAGGTCAGCAGTGTCCACACAAGAATTATTCATTCTATTCCATGGATCTTATCCCAGAAGTGTTGCGGAACATGTCTGAGGGTAACAAAAAAAAATCTAAGGGCATATGTGCTATGTGGAATAATTACTCAGATGCCCTGGTGATACGTAGGAAAGACAATCCCATAAGTAGACTCCTATTGGCATGATCTCATGATGAAGTCTGTGCTTTCTCTTCCTGGATGCTTTCCCTGAGATGTTAAAATTCTGACTTTTCTTTATGATTATGCACATACAGCATCACTGTGGACTGACTTTTCAGCTAATGGGGACAACATGAAGCTCCACACCAATTTCAAAAGGGGAATCTTATACCCAGGGAAAGTCAATGATAGTCCAGGAACAGGGCGTGGGCATAAATACTCCAGAAATCAGTGGAGACACCAGTATGAAAACATGTAATCACCAGCCTGCATTAACTGAAGGGCTATTACAATCCCCAGCCCTGTAGCTCAAATAGAAATGTGTCAAACAGTCAGAAGATGTGCACTACCCTGACACAGCCAAGCATGCTTTTCCCTGGAATGAAAATAGGCCCCATGGAGATCCAGGTTACATGCAGAGTCAGCTTCTCTCCCTTTCATTTGGAGAAATGCATCTCTTCATTCAAATTGTGTCAATTAGAGGTATTTTATTAAAAAATCTTTGCCAGATATGAAGCACTCAGAATGGTAATAGCCCTGTACATTTACATGCTGCCTTTCCACACTGATTCATTTCATTTCTTCCTACTATCTAAAAATTCTCCCATTGCCATGACTGATTCACTACTATAAAAAAATTCTCTATAATAATTGCAATCTTCTGCTTGGTTTTGAAATGTGCTAATTATTTTTGCAAAAGATATTAAAGTGTCCTAAGTGCTTTCAGATCTCTCTTTAGAGCTGAGAAAATAGAGTCCTAAATAGCTTACATAAAGCCCTCAGGTTCCCAAAGTTCAGAATTAGTCTTTGATCAAAATCGGATTTGGCATTTTGGAAAAAAATAAAATAAACTTTTCAAATTGAAAGAAGAACTACTTCACAGAGGAAGCAAATAGGGTTTTACTGAGTTGGGCCAATATGACAGACTGGAAGTTGCACATGTGCACTGCTCTCACAGGGAGGAAACAAAAGGGCTAGTGAACACTGACCCTGCAGGCCGATCATCTAAGAAAACATATCAGGATCCATCAAGGCAGCAGGGGGATACAGAGAGTAGTGATGAGCGAAGCTGGGCACCAGCCTGTCTGGGCTCAGTGCAGAGCCAGGAGAACCTCTCCAACATGGGAAAAGGTGAGTGAGTGAAAGCCCCCTGGGGGACTCACACTCTCCACAGAAACCACTGCAAGGCTAGGAATGAAAGAATCCTCCTGGTCGTC